ATGTATTCTACCCTCGTTTCTTAATTTATTTTCAATCATACATTTCATGGAATCCACAATTTATATCAAATTTTCAATCACATATTATTTTTTTTTATTATTAAATATACTAATAACTTAATTTTTTTTCTATTTTTACTTTCTTTTATACGTTGCTTAAAGATCTTATATGTATTGGGCGTTCGCTAAAACAACATGCGATATTGTCTCGAGTTATTTTTTGTTAATAGTTCTACTTTAATTGATTATAGTCATTGGCAAAATTAGGATTTGAATTTTGTGAGGTCTAATTTAATTATCAAAAAAATTCAAGCAAAAGATATAATAATATTAAAAATTAAAATTAAAAAGCCTGTTTGAGTCAAATTATTGTAGAATGAGAATGAAAAATATAGCCGTTATTGGGGCCCATATAAGAGATAAAAAATTTGAATTTAAATATTGATGTGATGGATACGGTCATATTTTTCATTTTAATGAGATAATAATATAGATCAAACGGTGACATAGTTTATTTCTTTCGAAGTGTCGGTGGGATAAGGGACCCCACTGGCCCCCACCTCCCTCCGCCAAACATTCTAGAACCAACTACTTGTTCATTTTGATTTTTGTCTTTAGAAATTGATCGAGAAAATATCTTTATGAAACCAACTACTCAAATGCAGTGCAGGAAACCTCTCTTTATGAATGTATTCTATGATTAAAGTAAATGATTGTGGCAGATAACAAACGAAGCAAATAATGGTGGGGATTAGTTTTTTTATTTTTATTAAACCAACAATAATGGATGAAGTAATATAAACAATTCTTAATTATATAAATAAACAATATTTTTTGAAATTATTAATAATTATTGAAAATGTAAACCCCTACTTGCAAACACTAAGGCTCTGTTTGAGAAGCACCATTTTTCAAGGAAAATGGAAAATATTTTCACCATTCCCACAAAGTAGCTATTTGATGGCCAAAATTGGCCTTGAAAATCATTTTGCCAGCCACCACTCGACGCACCAATTTTCCTTCAAATCAATGAAATTATTTTCCTTCAGTTTTCGTGGATTTTGATTTTCCAGCTTTGCTTTTTTTTTTTTGGCAATTAGAACAAATTCTAGACCAAATGGTAGAAAAAATTATCACTTTAATGGACAATTTTCATAAAAAATGAAACCAAACAGACACTAAAACTTTCAACATTTTCCATGAAAAATTATATCAATTAAGCACAATTAATTACAATTTTCAATAAAATAATTTTTAAGCAAATTAATTTCTTATAAAATATTTTCTTTCCATTCATTATTCACATTTACAATCAAATAGAGCCTGATTGAAATATTTGGTGCCTCGGTTTTAAAATTCTAGTTATTATAAGAATTGTACTAAATTGACACCTGCACAATGGGAATGACACTTGAGACTTTCTTATTGAATCTTTAAATTCAGACTTTTAATAACAAAATTTAATCAATCAATACACAATCACGTCATCACGGCAGCGATGGAAGTAAAACCTTTATATGAAAATTATCTTTTTACCATTTTAAAATTAGTCAACATTTGGTCAATTTGTTTTATTTTTGGTCAATTAACTATCAAACTAACAGTTTTCATTCACTGAACTCCAACTGCGATATTTTAAAAGATTTGGTATCGTGGATGACACATATAAAAGGTTTAGACAAAATCAATCAATCAAAATCAAAGACCTTAAACATGTTATGATAGAATTGGACCAAAGTATCAAATATTTTGTTTTTAAAATTATTTGTCAAAATTTTATTAGTCGGTTCAAACATTATCTATAGATATACAAATTCTTTACCGTTACAGTCCCTGTCTTCGATGATCAACTCGTTCACTGCTCAATATTCCCTTCACACCCATCATCCCACTCCGACTAATAAAATTTTGACAAATAATTTTGAAAACAAAATATTTGACACTTTGGTCCAACTCTATCATAAGCTGTTTGATTTTGATTGATTGAACATTTTTCAAATATTTGACCATGGAGATGTTTCATCGTGCTTAAAATCGAGTTAAAATTGAAAATATAGTCGTTATTGGATCTCACTTGTCTAATATCTATAGAACACTCCCCATGCGGCTAATATTTTGAAATTGACACCCATGGTAAAGTATCAGGATTCTCTGAATGCAGCAAATCAGAAAACTATTTTAATATTTGAAAAAATTAGCAAACTTGCACAATATTTGTAAAATGTTCTAAAAAATAACAAATAAACTGAGAAAACTCGAAAATATTATCTTTACCCGAGTTTTGAAGACTAATTCATAAAAAATAAAAAAAAATCAATATAGATTATGTACATTTGATAGTAGAGAGAATAGAAACAACAACTCGAGTAAAGTTATATTATTTGGGAAATGATATATGTACCCGGGGGTTTACACCCCAGGTTACCCGACCCCACCACCCCCCTAACAATGAGGTGGGGCCCGAGGAGAATTGAATAATCGGCGAGCCCCCCATTGTGAGGGATGGCGGGGGGTCGGGTAACCCGGGGTGTAAACCCCCGGGTACTTGTAGTAAAACTCATATTATTTTTAGGTGAGTTTAGATTCATTTTGTGAAGAGTACGTTGGTTGGTTGGGTAATAAGAGGAATTGGGAGTATTAATCCAAACTTAGAGTTTTTTAATCTTAAATTGAAAAGTAAACGTGAAATTAAGTGTGTCGCTGTCCGTTTAGTTCATTGATAATTATCACCAACAGTCGTATTATGTAACAGAGAATATTCAAAATAATGAAGAAAAAGAAAAAGAATAAAATTTGGTCGATTAGCAGTAACTTGCAGCGAGGGGGCGCACACGCAATGTTCTAATTTGGAAGTTCAGATGTCATTTTCTTTTGCTTGTCATAGATCCTCTCTATTATATTAGTAATATTATTCCCTTTTTTTTTTTTCAATCATACTTGGTGTGCATCATCTCTTACATCATTCCTTACACTCTGCTATATGAATAACAATTTTTTTTCAACCAATCTTTTTTGACAACACAACAAATGTAATTCATAGTGTAACGAGAGAGTGTACAAATGACATAATCCTTGCTTTTTCTGCTGCCTACCATGTTGTACCGAGAATTAGATTATTACAAAATATTACACTTCGAAGGACATATGGCATTGATGGCGTATTTTAGGTCCAAATCGTATTGGTTTGTTTTGTTTCGCTTTCAAAAATCATAATTATTGAGTTGTAATTAAAGTTAAAGAGTCGAGGATTGGTAGTATAGTCTTTGAAAGAATCCAAGAAGTCAAAGATAAACTAAGAAGAAAAAATAATCAGAAAAAACTCGTCAATTGCTTAGATGGCGCTAGAGTGGAAATTGTAGTGAAGGCACCGCTCGCTAGCCACGACACTACACAGGCGTTCAAGTGGTCAACTAACCGCTCGTTAGCTTGAGAGAGGAGCTCAAGCAATGGTATTATCTAGGTAAACCTAGATTGCAATTTTGGCAAATTTTACAATTTCATACAACCTCAAACACTTCATATGCCCCTGTTTGACACCCATTAATTTCTCATTCTCATTTTCATTTTCATCTTCATTTCAACCACACATTCTCCAAATAAAATTATATTACACACAAATCAAAAAAAATTCATCACTTTTCCACCACACATTCTCACATCAATCACTATTTAGAAATTTCTATTCTCTTCAAAATAGATTCAAACACGCATTATACTCAAGCCTTAATTCGTCCCAAAATCTTTTGTATTATTGATTGATTAATTATTCATTCAAGAGAACATTCTACAAAAGATCAAACAATCAATTCCATAATTCTCTTAATTCAACCAACATAACAAAACACAAAAGATTAAATACCAAAAACTTTTATTTTCACCAATAAACATTCCGAGGTCTAAAGTTGGGAAGAGACGACTAGAATTCCAATTGTTCCAGAACGAGTTCGTTCTTGATAATTCACGTGGAGGAAAAATAAGTCTAGAGCTCAGGAAAGTGCAGATTGCACAATCGAAAATGTTTTTCGGTTATTTTAAGTTTGGGTGATCAAATCTACTAAAATTTAGTTATGTCTAGACCAACTATAAGTTATCTTTTTAGTAGATTTTTTTGGCAAGGTTTGCCAAGAGATTTTTTTATCTTTAGCCTCTGTTTGACAATCATTATTTTAAAAAAAATATTTTGAAATATGATTTTTATGAGAATATGTGGTTAAAAAGTAGGGAAAAAATTTGAGTTTACGTACATAATATTTTATTTTGTGAATGTATTATTGAAAATGAATATGTAAAAAAAAAAAAAACTCTTCAAATAATGATTGTAAAATCGGTACTTTGTGACTTATTACTTTTTATTGGTTGTTATTTTAATTTTGCATTATACATCTCTAGGTGTTGTTAGATTTAAACGTTCGTTTATATTAATATATTATTATTAGTATAATTATTTTTTAGCTTATGTGTGGCATTCACCTCGAAGAATTGAACTAAGGCGAAGTAAGCATGCCAATCTCACAAACGAAATACGGGAAGGAGAAATCTTCAATGAGCCTTGAAAAAAGCACTTCAAATTGAAATCTAGACATGCCACTTCGGAGCAAGAGAATGAGACAACTAATGATTATAGTGCTGGGGACTTGTCTTCTCACTTTGCTACGATTGTCCAGTTGTCGTCGCAGGTCAATTACATTCGTTGAAAAGATTAGCCTAAGATCGAAATCATTGCACCCTATTTGTTTCCCCAGTTATTCATCCCCACAGAGATGAAAACACAGTTTACGTGGCGTTAATGTGTAATTAAATAATATGTGAAATTAAATAAGTCATTTAATTTCACATTTCATTTAACCTATCATTTAAAACCATATAAACTGTATTTTCATCCCCATTGGGAATGAATAACATTACTCTTGTTTCCCTTCTCCGTCAATAATCAAAACCATCTCACAAGTCACAACCAATCAATCTGGATACAATGATATACAAATAACATTACTTAAAAATTAAAAATCAATGTCTATGGATACATGAGACCCAGCCAGTAATCCATTAGCCACCTTCAAGACATTGATCAAGACAACAGATGTCGACAATGGTACACTCAAGGCAATTAACGTTAACATTCCTAAAGCCACACTAGGCCTTGTATTCATCAAATATGACTGCAATAACCCCACACCTTCACAGATATCTCTCTGGTAATGTCTACAGTACTTCTTCTCCCATTCTTTCCAATTCGAATTAGGCATCTCCTTCGACTTAGGCATATCCGGGCTGCTACTACTTCCCTCTAACATCTTTATTTTCTTGATGCGCATTCGCAGAAAGATCATATTTTTATCAACAGATTTTCCCTTGTCGTCTCCTTTCTTTTCACTGACAACTTTTGTGATTGTAATTCCATAATTTCTTCTCTGGTACTGAGACGGATGTATACTTAAAGCACGCTTTCTGTGCAAAGTAGGGCAAGCCAAGAAAGTAGTTGCCTCCATATAGATGCTGTTGTAATAATTTCCAGAGATTTTGCTGTCTGGCTGTGTTTTTTCAAGAACTAGTGGTGATTGAAAATGAATGTAGAAAGTACGTTTTATATAAAACTGGAGACATGCCTATGCGTAGACACAAAAGCCTTTTTTTTTTTTTTTTGGTGGAAGTCGTGTTTTTAGTTTGTGTCTTGTACACAGTACACATGCAAATTCGGGGTTTGCGCCGCTAATGGAGTATATCAGCTTGGAAGCTTGAAATGCAATTCTGATGGCATTTGCTTTAAAGGAATAATTACATGTGCAAGGCAATTATGATGGCATTTTGAGGTTGCATTGAAAGAATAATTACTTGTGCAACAGTTCATGCTTAGGTTCCTAGGGAAAACAATCCCAACAAGGAAAGAATTTGCTGGGTGTTACTAATTATGTTCAACATCAAACTTTCTAAATTTTTTCACTTTAACCAATATAGATGATCATCGAATTTATAAACTATGTTTTCTTTAGTAATTTTAACGGTTTTGTTGCGCAACGACATCCCTTGCGTATGTGTGTGTCATTAAATCAACACTATTTCGAATATTAATTTGATTGATATTTTGCTCTCGTGTTATTTCTGTTTGCCACACAAGTCTTGTCATATAGAATCATACTATAGGTACGGGAAAACTATACAGAATTCATACAGGAATTTGAAATGGAGGGTTTACATTCAAAATTGGGAGAGGGAAAACAACACAGTCATGGATATGATTAAACCATTTCAAATTCCTCTCAACAATATGTAGAAATTTCCTATACTTGTGGAATAATTCTGTCATATAATACATCTCCAACGTTACGCGATCAATGAATATGTCTTTAAGTAACTTCAATATCGGAACATGCGTTCTATGACAATTTATACTAAAGAATAATATTTTGGACAACCAACAAAGTTTATAACCCGAATTTAGTCGGTTGAAAGATTAATTCAGAAGCTATAATTGGAAATTAATTAAGCTTATCCATTGCATTGCATGCATGCATGCATGGAGTGTTGGGATTTTGACTCAAAGTGTGAGGTAAATTAAATTCTACCTAGTTTTTTTGTTCTCTTTGTGAGTTGTTCAAAGATTAGGAATTGGTCGAATGAAATTTTATATGATTGTAGAAAATTTTCATATATTGAAAGCATTAACAGTCCGTAATTTTTTTTCTTATTTTGAATTAACAAAATCCTGTGGGCAAATAACGAGACATGGAGTATTAAAACCTTCTTAAGCAAAAAAAAAAGCGTTTTAAAGGGGAGACGTGTCTTTGATTACTTCACAATTGTGAAAAGCGTGGTGGCAGAGTGTGTTTATAACTTCAGATGACAACATTTCCAGTTGTTGATACGCTACCTTATGATGATCTGAATAATTTTGAAGATCCTGATAGTTTTGTCCAAAATTTATTTATTAACACGATCATGAGTGATAGGATCCGGATTCTCTGCAACCTAATACTTTTCCATTTGATTTTGATTTTGATTTTCTCGTGCAAAACGATCCTGGCTTTTTGCTTGGGAGAAGAAAATTTGAGGAAGAAATTAGAGGAGTTTTCTCCAGTGGTTAGTCACTGATAAAATTACGATTTTGTTTTGATTTATAGTTATGGATTTGGAGACTTAAGTGTTGTAAAAATTACGTGATTTGTGTAACAAATTACGGGGTGTCCTCAATTAAAATTGTGATGAATTATAAAAATCATTCTAAATTTAGGTGTCCTCAATTGAGATTTTAATGGATTTTAATGAAATTCATTAAAAATTAGGTGTCTTGAATTGAAATTTTAATGAAATCCTTCAAAATTTAGGTACCCTCGATAACTGGTAGATATATAAAAAATTTATTAATGGATGGATTTTAAAAGATTTTGAGAGATTTCAAACTTAAAAATACATATAACTAAATCTTTTGAAATTTCACCATAATTAATGAAATTCTTAAGAACTTTGTGAAAATCTATTCAAATCCACAAAATTCATTGCGATTTATAATGAGAAAAATCCACCAAAATCTTAGTTGAGGACACTTTCGTAAACTATAAGCATGAATCAAATAATATAAATTTGATAATAGAGTTAGAAAAGCTCGTTTAAGAGAGCGCAACAAACGCCGTTCTAAAGTTATGTGACCTCCCCTTTGCGCGGATACTTTTGGCATTGCACAGCTCTTTCTTATAGCTCGCAGCCGGTTCTCCTTCTACGGGCACAACCTCAGGGAGAGATAGAGCAAGCTCTTATCAATTGCCAAAAAGATAATATGAAATGAATAGATAGTGTTTTTCAAGTGTTTGCTTTTTGTTGTGTGTAAAATAATGAGAAATTCACCCCTTTTTATAGTAGAAAAGTTCAACACTCACATAATGAAAATTAATCAAATTAAATATAAGTTATAAATATAATAATGAGATTAAATTTTGTGTCGAATCTGAAAGTTAAAATACAAGAAACAGAAATTTTAATTTTCAGTTTGAAAGTTTTAAACTTATTTTCAACAACACCCACAAGTTTTGAACTTTAAAATAATTATATATGTATATACTGGCAATATTATATTATGTAATATGTGTAAGTGTCTTTTGGAGTTGAACCTCACTTAGTGATAAAAATTTCCATTTGAGGAAGCCATAAGCCTTGAATTAGGTCCCTTTGGCCAAAATCCAATTGTTCCATATACAATTTCGAATTAGGCTCAGTTCATAGCGAGTAGCATTGTTAATGGTCATGCGCTCTTATCTTGATTTTAGTAAGAGTCTCTATGTAACGACTGTCCGCTCTGGGGTGGGCTTCTGTCCACTTATCCCTTCACGGCTTTCTGACGCGTCCCTCAGGATTCGAACCCAAGACCTCCATCATATGGGAGACTTAAGTTAAATTCTGGTACCAATTGGGCACCGTGAGGGAATAAGTGGGCAGAAGCCCACCCCAAAGCGGACAGTACATAAGATAACGACTCCGATGAGAGGCCGGTCATTACACTCTATGAAATAGACCAATCGCATAGCCACGATTTATGACAACTCTTACATAGGTGAGTTTTCCAAGGGTGCGTGTGACCCGCACCTCGCTTAGCACCTTGGTACTCATTTATGATTAAACCTTTTCTAACATTACAATCATAGCACTATCACCATAGGGATGTACAGAAATAATATAGTGATATTACCAATCACGCGGTGCGGGTTGTTCCTACCACATTGAACCTTCTTTATGGGATCTCCAATCACAAAGGTTGGGTTACTCCCTCCCTTGCGGGCTTAAGCACATCCTTCTCAATGATTCATTAACACCCTTTTTGGGTAAAGGTCTAATTAAATTGTCTGATAAATTCTTTTCAGATCTCACAAAATTGAGAGGAATTACATTTCTCTTAAGTAATGCATTGACTAGCTCAAGTCTTGCTTGAATATGTCTATTCATCTTCTTATTTGAGTAAAATTGATTTACAAGCTTTATTACTGTTTTACAGTCACAATGTATTGAAATGGTTGGAATTGACTTCCCTATTAATGGTATATCTAATAATAAATCTATAAGCCACTCAGCGTTAGTACATGTTATATCCAATGCTATTAACTCAAATTCTAATGTACTTCAAGAGATAATTGTTTATCTTTTTGAACCCCAAGATATGACTGTACCACCTAGCATGAACACATATACAGTAGTAGACTTAATATCTACATTATCATTTATCAAGTTTACATCGCTATATCCTTCAATGACATTTGGAAAATTTCTATAACTTATAGAATAATCTAATGTACCTTGGAGATATTTAAGCATTCTCTCCAGAGCATTCCAATGTTCTTTACTTGGATTGTTAGTATATTTACTAAGTCTCCCAATAGCAGAGACTATATCAGGTCTTATCCTATTTGCTATGTATAATAAAGATCCAATAATTTGAGAATACTCAAATTGTGAAACTGGTTCACCTAAATTCTTTTTCAAGTGCATATTCGAATCATATGGAGTAGAAACTGGTTTATTATCATAATGGCCAAACTTTTCCAACATCTTTTTAATAGCACTAGACCGATTTAGTGAAATTCCTTTAGATGTTTTCCTTAACTTCATTCCTAAAATTATATGAGCTTCTCCCAAATCTTTCATTTCAAAATTCTTGGACAAACAACTCTTAACATCATTAACGAATCTTAAATTTGTGTCAAATATTAATATGTCATCTACGTATAAACAAAGTATGACATGATCGTTGTTATTTTCTTTGCAATATACACAATTGTCGTGTGCATTAATTTTAAATCCATAATTTAGTATAATTCCATTGAACTTCTCATGCAATTGTTTAGGAGCTTGCTTTAATCCATATAATGACTTTATTAATTTACATACTCTATGTTCTTGTCATTTGACTTTAAATTCTTCTGGTTGTTCCATATATATTTTTTCATCTACATTACCATTCAAAAATGCAATTTTACATGATTATATATATATCAAATTCAATAGCCACGCGTTCTATAAAAAAATCACTTAAGCTTGTAAATAATGCAAGAAAATAAAAAAGCTCGAATTGTAAAGAATGATTGCTTTGATTCATTAACTTACGCCACAACTTTAACTTATGATTCATAGAAAGCCCTAATTACAGGGATTAACATGTACTTGCATCTAAAATGCAATAATTTGATATGAGGCGAGATGCAAAAAAAGTTGAAGCCATTTTTAATTTAGTCAATGTTTGATGGTCATTGTTTAAACTATTTTTTCTACGTACTCATTTTCAACTACACATTCACACAATAAAATATTTTGCACGTAAGTCTAAAACTTTTTTTCTATTTTTTAACTACTTATTCTCCTACAAATTATTATTCAAAATATTATTTTTCCTAAATAATGACCATCAAACAGAGACGTATTAGGATTAATTATAGAGTTTTATACAAATTACTACCCAAATTAGAATTTTAGATTTTGTATTCTTCTTACTCAACCTATAAATTGTGAAAAACAAAAAAATTAATAAGAATATCAATTTCATTCGGGTATCCACAATTCTAGTTCAAAAATAAAAAATCGATTCGGACCCACCGGTTCTCGATTTTCGATTTTCGATTTTTGGTTCTAGTTCCTGCTTTATTTTTTTTTTGGAACCCATTCCAATTCGAGAGGTTCGGTTTCGATTAAAATGCTCAGGCTTAGTGTAATTTGTGATTAGTATGTAGTCATGATCATACATTGTGTTTTATTGTGATTTCGACATGTTTAATTAAATTATAGGTCAAAATATTTTATCAAATATCACAAAATGTAATCACCTAATTATTTATTTATTTTTTCACGAGTTCGTTATTTATAAAATTGTATTTTGAAACATTTGTAATTATGAACCTCTTCCCTAAAGAAAACACGAAATGGGCAGCTTCTTTAGATAAAAAAGATAAAAGTATTGGAGGAAAATGATGTGGAGGAAATTACATCCACACCTATTTAACAACTTATTTCAACAATCAGGTGCAACTTTTTTCTTGTGGAAATTAGGTGTACCTATTCCCACCCCACCCCACGCTACCCTACCCTACCCTAACCCTCCACCCTAAATTTTCCTACGGTCCCAAATTGCCGGCCATCACATCACTTCACAGTGTCCCAAACCAATGAACATAGGCGACACGACTGTTACCGTCTGATAATTTGTGATTAAAAAAAATAAGCTGTGACAATTTAGTTTGGTAATTTGTGATCGAAAAATAGATTATGATCTATAATGATAGATTATAATCGATAAATAAGTCGCGACTAGTTAATTTGATAAATTGTGATCGATAAGAAATTATGACCTATTTAATTAATTAATAAGTCAAAAGTTTTGAAACTTTTCCACAAGTTCATTATTTATCTAAACAATCTATAAAGGACTACATTGGGCCAAGCCTGTGGATCCACCACCATCAATCAGGAAATTGATGCCGACCCATGCATAGGTGATTGGGAGAAGCCCAAGTAAAGCATGGTATTTCGAAGGTAATTATATTTACACCACAATTTTTATTTTTTGCACCACATTTTAATTATACGTAAATTTCTTAATCTTTGCTCATTATAGTATTTATGTTCCTAATGATTTTTTTATATCGTTCTTATCCTCAAACTTTTTATTAGATAACACATTTTGTATTTGATAACAATTTATTGTTCAAAAGTCCGTTGAAATGACATAAACCAACTTATTTTTTTATCATATTTAAAAAAAAAAGTGCAAAAAATATTTTGATTTAAATCATCATTAAGGATGAGACGTACTAATTAACGGAATGTTAAAGATAAGAATTCGACGAAAAAATGTTAAGAAAATAACTGTAATTAAAATGGGGTGTATCGAATAAAAATTGTGGTGGCAATGTAACCACCCTATCTCTGAATCATTTCGAAGTTCACATAAAAAAGGTAGTAAATGGTGAAATACAAGCAGTTTTTACACGATTCCGATAATTCTCAATGTTGCCGGATAAAAATGATTAGGAGGTTACTAATTTGGTGGATATGCATAAGGGGCAAGATATTACAGGTGCTAAGCTCCACAACAAAGCATGAATATGAATCCTCGTTTGTATTGACAATGACTAGGTAACATGGAATTATCGTCTACAGAATTGTGTATTATTTTGTATGTGTGAGATATTTTGAGGACATAATATTTTCATGGATCATTTTGTACCTACATCGACTTACTTTGCATTAGACTTAAGAAAATGTAGCCAATGCAATAGCCTTTCCTTCCTTGTCGACCATATTGGTTTGGGTGGATCTACCTCGAATTGTGTCTTTCTTTATATGTGATATGTTGTTCTAATCGTATCTACTTATAATGTACTTGATTTGATATGTTGTCCTAATTGCATCTACTTGTAATGTACTTAAATTGTTTTTGATCGGAATATTTGCTTATCAGGGCGATTTTAGCCTTTCCTTGTCGGCGATATTAGTTTGGGTGGGTCTACCTTGAATTGTGCCTCTTTCTATAGGATATGTTATTCTAATCGTATCGTAGTTGGATTGATTTATTTTCCTTTCTTCTTTTAAACTTAATAGGACAAGATATGTGGTGATGGCAAGTGATGTTTAAAGTAATTTTGCAATTTGATCGACTAAAAAAGTTATCAAATCAATTGAAATTCCGTTAAGTTCATGTTTGGTTTAGATTAAAATTAAATTAAATTTAAAGTAAAAGTTAACAATTGAGTTTAACACCACATTTCATAAATTCATAACTTTTTATCAACATATTTCATCAATTTTTTTTAAAATTTACTGAAAAACTGATTTTAATACACTGAGGGGGCTTACTTTCACAGCGCAGAGGATTCTTGAGCCTACACAGTCGAGGCGCTCACCGGATATTCCACATACGTAGTTGACTTGCAATTATCTCGTAATCAGAAAACTGCAACTTCCATTTCTGCGTTTATCATAAAAATTCTACCAAGGGAAATGGTGAGGTTTTCTGTGGGTGGATCGGAAGGCGAAGAAGATAGGGATTCAATTAACAGCAAAAGACCCGTCTCCGACAATAGCCGAACCTCCACCAATGACGGATATCAAGAAAAAGACGAACATGGAACATACTCCATTAGATTCTCCACCGATAAACCTCGACCCTCTATAACCTTCACCAAGAAGCCTCGATTCTCGACCCCCAACGAGGCCGTATGCGCCACAACCTCTGCCGCTCGTCGGCAAAGAGGGAAACTGCAAATATTTGATGATGATGGAATCTTTGGTGGAATCATTGACGAAGAAGAAGAAGAACCTAAGGAGGAAACGAAAGAAGAAGCGCACGAATCTTCAGATAAAGAGAAAACAGATGGGCAGCTTTCCGTGATCTTGTCGGACCCTGATGTGCTTGATTGCCCCATTTGTCTTGAGCCCCTCACGCTTCCCATCTTTCAGGTTTTCCCCTTATTTCCTCCTCTTTATTTGTGTGTGCATATGATTGGTTCTGTGTTTTATCTTTGAGCGTGTCTTGGCTTTCCAATTACCGTAATCTTCCTGCTACTTTTTTCTTGATTCTGAATGGTTACTTAACTCGTTGGGATTTAGTTGCAAAAAACATGGTGGATTTTTCTATTGGATTGCCATATGAAATCATTTCAGTAAGACATTGTAAATTTTTCGGGGTCATGCCTGTTTGATTAAGTAAATGTGTTATTTCTCTGCCACGAGCATCTATTATTTTGAATTATTGTAGGGGAATACCATAGTGTTTCACATATGTGTCAGTTGCAAAAAATTTGGCAGTACTGCCTCACGTTGGACGAGGAAAGACTGTGGAAATCCCAATTGGTTAATTTTTTAGTAGGTGTTCAAGAATTAGAGTACTGGAGCATTTCAAATTTGTAGATCATCTTGGTATCTGTTTAGAATGAGTTAATCATTCATGGAATAAACATACAGAAACTGGTATACATAGCCTGTTTGTGAGTGAAGCAAGTTTCCCTCGAAGTCACTCAGACTGGAAGCTTCTAAAAGCTTAGCGCTTGATTGGTAAAGATTTTCCTAAGGTACATGGGCCAGATGGTGCTTGAGGAATGTTTGGCCAATGCTAATTTGGAATTAAGCTGTAAAGAGTATATGTACATTGAATTTAAATGATTGTTGATTTTGAATATCCATTTGGACCAAATTGAACTGGGGTTCATGCTCTAAAGCATGCTGATGTAAGGATATATTTTCTTCCCTATACATGTATATGGAGTTATGTTGATCCTAATTGATTGTCATGATTTAACTTTTAAGTAGACGTTTGTCTTAAACTTAGTAACTTTTAAGTAGACACTTGTTTTATACTTAGTAATAAAATATTTGAAAGTTGGTTTTACTTACAACTTTTGCTTATTTAATTAAACTACGATCATTTAAGAGCAAATGTGTAAGATTTGTCATTGCTTGACAAGTATGTTGCTGTATACAATACCATATGCCTCAACTACCACATTTTAAGTTCATGGTGATTCATATTGATTGGCTTGGAATATTCCACAATTTTGAATTTCTGAAAAATAGTGGTAATTCTTTCATTGTGAAAGACACTTTCCTCTCAACAGACTAACAAAAGACGTCTTTCCATCTCCAATTTTCCCATTCTTATGGCAGCTAAAACTCTGTTATATCCTCCCAAATAATGTTCCACTCCCTCGTTCTCATCGGTGAAATTCCTGGCAATATTTTAAAGTGGCCATTAGACCCTTAAAATCACCATTAACCCTTAAAAATAAGAAGCATGACCTGGTGGCTTACCATGGTGGATGAAATGAGTAATTGGAGACGAGGTGAAGCCAAAGGTGGCGATGTCAACAACAGAGTGGGTCTCGGTGGCAGCAGAAATTGTTGAGAAATCGGAAGATATTATTAAGTTATCAGGGAGAAATTGTTATTTCTTAAAATAACCTTAGTATTTCAATCATCAACAAACAGAAGTTGTTCTGACTAGTTACTCATGCTTAGAACCAGGTTATAGATTGAAATGCAACAACTCTTGTCGTCTATCTCCCCATGCATGTGATAGAACATTAATGTCTTCCTATTCATTTTGACTAATTGTACATACTTAGAATTGCTTTTCCATGATTATTTCGATATGCTTGTCATGGTACCTATCTCTTGAAGCTCACCTACTAACTAGGATAGTATCACAATTTCACCATATCACTCCTTAACATGGAAAAATGGCCAGGATATGCAATTCGAAAAGTCAGCTGGGCATAAACTCCTATGTGAGTTAGACTTGATGTCTTTGTTCTCTTTTTTTATCATAGATGGTGTATCTTGGACAAAGAATAAAAATGTAGCATTGCTTATGAAAGGGGTTAAGGTACAATTTGTTTGGCAACATCAGAATTGTCCCTTGTTCCCTATGTGTTATTAAGAAACAGAATATGTACTTTCAAGGTACAGGACACTGCGGAGAAAACTGTTCTAATCTGTTTAATTTTTCTGCATTTTAATCTAGTGTGAGAATGGGCATATAGCATGTGCACCATGCTGCACCAAGATGTTTAACAGATGTGGAAATTGTTCTTTGCCGATTGGTTACAACCGTTGCAGGGCCATCGAAAAGATTGTTGAATCAGTCAAAATCTCTTGTCAAAATGCAGACTACGGCTGCAAACAGACAATACGTTACAGTTATAAGCTTGATCATGAGAAAGCATGCACTTATATGCCTTGTTCATGTCCTCATGTTGCCTGTAACTACGTTGGCTCCTCCAAAGGCTTGTATACGCATTTTGAGCTGAATCATTCAAATTGTTCCCTGCGATTTCATTTCAGTCTTATTGTCTCCATTTCCTTGGACAAAAATCAGAAACAACTCTTTCTTCAAGAAAAGACTGAAGGGACACTTTTTATCCTTAATCGCTCAATCGATCGTCTTGGAAGCTTATTCAATGTTGTTTCTGTCGGACCATCTTCAACCAAGAGAAGATACTTTTATACTCTTACATCGAAAGATGGAGAGAGCTCAATCAAACTAGAGTCAGTTGCAGATAACATGCCAAAATGGATTGCACAGCCTCCTGTGAAAAAATATCTTCTGATTCCAAATGATTTTATTGGTTCCAGTGGTGAGCTGAAGTTGGAAGTTATCATATGGAGTCCCCTTGAATCTCCCTAAAGTAATCGAAGATGTTGATGTTTCTAAATTTACTGGTTATCATTGACTTTGACTGTAGATAAATGCTATTGATGGACCTCCATGTTAATATTTGAGGCTAATTTATCCATTGTAAATTTTAATAGGAAAAGATTTGTTTTTGATTTGGTATTATCCTCAAATTCGGTGGGAATAATCTGTCTTATAATTTGTTTGTTAATCTAGCCTTTGTTTAGTATGGATTTCACAACATTTTAACCAACAATGGTCCCTAACATTTGGGGTTGCTATGCAAATGGTCCCTAATCTTTAAATCTTGAAGCGAACATCATTATGTTTCCAGTTAATTGGTGGAATTGGCCATTTTGAATGATTTTCATCCAATTAACCGTTAAAATGATTTAGTTTTTGGTAATAAGAGCTTGTTTGAGTTCATTTTTGTTTTAAGAATGTATTTTGAAATAATAAATTGATAGAAAATGTGTGGTTGAAAAATAAGAAGGATTTTTAAATTTGCGTGTAATTTTATTTTATTCAAGAATGTGATTCGAAATAAGAGAGAAAAAAACGTATTTTGAAAATAATGTGTATCAAATAGGGGCATAGACTAAAATGTCCTTATTTTTAGTTAAATAAATTAAAATAAAATATGTAAAAAGGAAATATTAAAAATATATGACCAAAAAAAAAAAAAAAAGATAACTCATTTTAGCAATCAATCTCTAATAAAAGGATCTCAAATACAACTGTTATTTGCTTTAAAAATTTTGTCAGAAGATATTTCAACTTGTCTAAAAGAGCTATAAATTTTGTTGACTTTACTTTTCTAAAAGAGCCTTAAGGAAAATTCTATTTTTCCTATATCCCATCATCTTGACAGAGTCCCTATCAACTTGTACTGAAGATAATCTTTTCCAACATGTTATAATTTGCTCATATGGCACAATCTTTTAAGTTGCATTAGATTGTATTGTAATTTGAGATTAATTAACAAGATGAGTTGGCTTTTTTAATTTTCATTTTTACTCATTTTGTTTCATTTCCCTCTTCTAGTGAAAGGGGAACCCTCCATCTACTGTTCACTCGAGACGTATTTCATCTTTCCATTTTGAATTGTGCTATATGTACACAATTTTTTACAGGAGGACCCACACACAAAAAAAAATATTTGTGAACCCCTTTCATGTGAATGAATATAAAAGATTACGTACACCATAAAGTGTACATGTATCATTTTCCCCCCATTTTATCCCTCTTTGTACCTTTTGCACATCCCTCTTTCATATTAAGTATTGAAACCATCTAGAGGGATCTGGAGGTGAAGGAACCTTTCACACTCTCATTTGCAGTTCTACGCCCAAAGAAAAATGGCGAGCCCCTATGTGGGTGGATCCGGAGGTGAAGAAAGATCCGTTTCCGGGAACAGCCGAACCTCCAACAGTAGTGGATATGAAGTTAGAGATGATGATGGAGTCAGCGAGAATGAATACCTCTATCACGGCGGCCGTAGCCAGTACTCTGGAACCTCCACCAAGAAACCTCGATTCACCTCTACCTCCCCTACCCCCATGACTTCTTCTGCACGCGCCACCACCTCTGCCGCTACTCAACCAACAGGGAAGAAACGAATTCGAAGAAAACTACAAAAAACACGAACCATACAAGAAAAACAATATATGGACTCTCAAGAACAAGAAGAAGTGGGAAAAGAGGGGCAGCTTTCTGTGATCTTATCTGACCCTAAAGTGCTGAAGTGCCCCGTGTGTCGTGACCCGCTCAGCCTCCCAGTCTTCCAGGTTTTTTCCTTTTATTTTCTTATATCTACTGCGTGTGTATTTCGTTTTGAATAAACATCAACAATTTCTCTAATATGTTTCATTTTTTTCTGGGTTTTAATATAGTGCATGAATGGGCACATAGAATGTGCATTCTGTTGTGACATGGGAGATAACGTATGTAGAAAATGCTCTCTGCCAATTGGGCAAAACCGTTGCAGAGCCATGGAAAAGGTTCTTGAATCACTCAAAATTTCTTGTCGAAATCAGAAGTATGGATGCAAGGAGACAGTATGTTATAGTAAGAAACTTGATCACGACAACAAATGCGTTTATCAGCCTTGTTTTTGTCCACTTATTGAGTGTGGCTATGTTGGTTCCTCCAAGTGCTTGTATAGGCACTTTAAACTCTATCATTCAAATTCTTCAAAGCAATTTCTTTTCGATTCTGTTATCCACATTGCTTTAGAAATGAATGAGAAGGAAATCTTCCTTCAAGAAAGGACTGAGGGTATAATTTTTATCCTTAAGCGTTTTTTTGTTGATGATGGAAGTTTAATCAAAATCTGTTGTATTCAACCTTTTGCGAACACACAATTCTATTATGATCTTATATCAAGAGATGGAGCTAGCTCGATCAGATTAACATCATTCGCAGAGAACACGCCAAAGCGGCTTCCAGGTCCTCTTGTGGGCAAATATATAATCATTCCAAATGATTTCTCTGGACCGCTCAGTTTGGAAGTTTGCATATCGAAGCACTATGAACCTCCTCGTCATGTAAGAGAGTCGTAATTTTGTCTAATGGATCAGAATTCACCTGCTATATCGTTACTACGTAGTTTTTGACCTGCCCTTTTGGTCGGTTATGATGTATCTTCTTCTTATCATTAGGGTTGAATTTGTTTAGCTTATGCTATTTCATTATGTCCTCTTTTATGCCTAATGTTTGATGTTCTGGAAATCATATGCTGGTACTTTGACAGAACTTAGTGTTCTTTTATTACCTAATTCTAATTAACGCATGTTCCTGTTTGTTTTTCAAATGACACTTTGAAAATTGAATGTTGCTATCAATATTCAACTTAATGTCTTCTCAAGGGGTAAGACTTTGTATTTGAGTCGCTGGAGATGCGAAGAAAACCTACGTAAGCTAATGATGAATGGAGTAGCCTTAGAGTGAAAAGAGAAAGTAGATGGCAGTTGTTAATGTTAATACCAACTACGCAAGTCAATCCGCCACATACAAGATTTCACTGAAGTCATCCCCCACACTCGAGATATGAATAATGTTACGTGTACGTAATGGAGTTACAAAGTGATTTTAACCTTTTATCTTTGGAAATACCTACTCTACTTTTTATGTAAGGCTACTTGGGGACTATTTGTCCCTTTCAAACTATTGTCAATCTTAATCAATCCCTTCTACTGAAGAAAGAATATTTGCACGATCAAAAAAGTAAATCCATCGAGATTATATTCTATGAAGTTGAATTATCCAAGATTCAAAAGCAAATGTTCATTGAGATGTTACTAATATGATTAGTGATAAGAATATGTGATTGTGAATAAGAAAAGACAGTTGAAAGTGAATATTAACCATTTGTCGGTATAGCAATCCTGGAGATGGGGATGGTGGTTGATGGGATACAGGGGTCGATGGTGGGTTTTTGGTGGCTGTCGGAAATAGTTTTTTTCCTTTCCTCCCTCGTTAGATCTGGTGGTGCGATAGTGGCAGGGTTGGGGCTGGTAACTGATGGTGTCCGCGGTTGATAGTGGGGTGAATGAGTGAAGTGTAATTGAGTGAAATAACGCTTGAGGCATACGTTGATGAAATAACGACAGTTTTCCAGGAATTTTGTCAAATGGGGATGTATTTGCAATTAAGTGAAAGGTTGATGATATCTGATGCTAAAATAATGAGAGGAAAAATTAGTAACAGATTGCAAAGGTCGAGGACAAAATACGCCAATTTCCGTAATTAAAAGAGAGAGTAGCTGTCACAACTTTTCACCATGACTCGAGTATATAAATCCATACTACAAAGGAAAATTCTGTAAAAGTTTTATTGCATGTGTTCTTCTGGTTTAGAAGGATGCCATAGCCTAACTTCATGCATTAAAAAGAAAAATTGACCATAACATGGAATTTTTTTGGAAGATAGAGATTTAACAATATTAAAAATGAAAAAGAAGTTCAAGTCTTGTCCAATATAACCAAGCATGCCCGTAGTGTGCCTGCAGTTGATTGTTGTACATATATATTGGTATTTTGGTTGTTTACTAAAAGAGGAATTGTAAGAAGGGCAAGTTAGAGATAACACATGTGCCTTGGAAGTAACCAAACTGAAAGCAATACATGAAGAATGTCTGTCTTCTGCAAAGAATCAAAGTTTTTCATACTGGTCAAATCGTACCTGTCTAAACTCTCTTTATAATGCATATAGTAGAGACAAATTGACACAATATAACCCTGGTTTGTACTGAGGCCTAGCAGTAGGGTCATGTGGTTGTTTTGCAGTATTCCAGTGCTAGTACTTGACCATTTGGTTCGAGGCATTTTAGTCCAGGAGAAAGGCCAAAAGGGGGGAAATCTGTTAGAAATTTTCATTCTTCACTTTCCCAAGAAGTGAAGCAACCACTTAGGAAAATGTCTGGGGAGATCTTTGAGATTGTAAAGATAAAAGTGATTGCTCCTTCTACTTGTTTCCATTGTTTTCTCTAAGCATGCATTAACTTCATGGATTTGTTTTACAGACACAAGTGCTCAAGGTTCATGTTCATTGTCATGGCTGCGTGCAAAAGGTGAAGAAAATTCTTCGCAGAATCGAAGGTACTAACCTCCACTGTCTCCACACAAAAACATTTCTTTTGTTCATTTTACACTTGTTCTGAACTCATTTGTTGAGGTTTTCCTGAAGAAGAAAAACAGTTCTGTTATGTAATAAGAGGCTTGACTTGAATTTGTCTCATGTAGGAAATATTGCATCTCTGGTCACACCAAGAGAATGCGTTTTCATATTTTTGGCTCCCCTCCAAAAATTTAATTTCCCAAGGAACTTTATGCTTGTTTTCATATTGGAATCAAGGAAGTAATGTAAAACACATGTTTTTACTCTTATTTTGGTTGAGTTTCGATTCAGGTGTATATGAAGTGACAATAGATGCTGAAGAACACAAGGTGACAGTATCAGGAAATGTTGATAGTGCAACACTGATTAAAAAACTGGCTAAAACCGGTAAACACGCGAAGCTTTGGCAGTCAAACCCAAGCGAGGATGGAGAACTAACCAACTGGCCCGACAATGACAAGTCCCTTGATCAAATACAAAATTCAATGGCAACTTTAGATCACCCCACTGAAACTGATCACTGGGACTTCCATGAGAATATAAATAAGGGCTTGGAAACAGAGTTTCTAAAAGGGGAGAGAGAAAACAGTCTTGGAGTGGAAACAAAGGTGGATGAAGAGAGTTTAGGTTGGGATGAACGTTTGGTCAATGATGCAGGCATTGCAGAAGGTGGAATGAACTCTATGACGAGTCTTCGAGGTCACAACCCTGGTTTCTTTGGCCTAGAAGGCCAAGAAATTTCCCGAGTACAAAAATTCTGTGCAGGAGTGCCAGGTGCTGAATACTGTTATCCATCACCAATCCTGATGAACAACATGCAAGGATACTGGTACAGCCAGCCTTATCCAATATTGATATTTCACCAGAATGCAGAATATCTATTCCATGCATAACATGGTGGAGGATACCAATATTCATCAATCAGGGAGGAAAGAGCAGCATTTAAATTGATACGTAGCAAGTGGTGCGTAATTATGTAGATGATTATGCAATGTGGTTAAGTTATTCATATCTTAGAGAATGAGTATGATTGAATGTGACCGTTAAAACTTCCTTTTAACTTGATCTGGTTAGCATTTATATTTTACCCCCATTCAGCTAGTTTAGTACCATTTGAAAAAAAAGAATTCTCTTATTGGATCAAACACCTCTTATCAGCAATTTCAAGCTTCAAATCAGAAAATAAAAACCTTGCATGTTCGACCAGGCATGATGCTCTTGGATGCAAGGATCAGATTTTTAATTAGCTTTAGTGTTTCAATCTTTGAACTCATAATGGTGTGATTCACTGTTTTGACCTCAAATTCTAATCAAATCAGGCAAAACATAAATTTCATTGCAAACTTCTAACGTGCATAACTAATTTCTTTAACCTAGTTTGAAACTGAAATAAAAACATATTAATAGTAAATGCATAATCCTTCCTCAGAAAAGATTTAAACAGGGTGGTCACAGTTATCAGCACAGTTAAATTAATCATATCGGGAAATCAGTAAATAAATTTGGAAAGCAACGAAGAAATCTTTTGTACACTAGAATCAAGAGTACAAGATAGTCAAAAGCAACAAAATTTAAGACTATGAAAGGGTGTTCTAAGGATCAGAGATTACAGCTTATCTTTCTAGACATTCAGAAGCAGCTGCAAGTCAGTCATCGCTTCTGTGCTTTCCTACGTCTCGACTGGGTCTTCTGCCATTTCTTAATTGTTGGCAAATCTACAACAAAATATGAGATGTGAACTGTAATCAAACTGAGTTCGCACCATTAGTAAATAAATTAAGAAAAGTAACGAAGAAACCTTTTCTACAGTAGCATCAACTGGGTCTTCTGCCATTTCTTTCTCGGAACAAGTTTGCTCTTTGGCTTTAACTTCAACTCAGGCGAGAACTTATAGTTTGGATCCCTCATACGAGCTTGAATATCCTTAAAAAACTGAATGTTCAATTTCTTCGGCCCACCTTGCCTAAGCTCCTCGTATTCTGGTCCCGAGACAATATTCTCGAAAGCTCCAATGAGAATGTCCAAATCACTCATGACTTCCCACACATTAATGTACCGCCCATCTGGCCCTTTCTTTAATTTCTTGAGGGCGTTCTCAACTGCAAGTTTTCGAGCCTGTTTTCCAGGGGACAATTCTTCAGGCTCCTGCTCATCTTTCAATGCTTCAGCGAGTGTTCGATATTTTGGTTTTTCCTCAAACTCAAACAATTTATCTATATATTCATCACTCCTCTCATTTGGGACAGGTTCTGTAGGAATATCATCGTCATCATCTTCCTCATCTCCAGTCCACAGTGTCTTCTCTTCATCGCTATCTGACCACACGCTATTCAACTCATCACTATCATCAGCATCAATGCGATCAGAGCGATCTTTAGCCCGCTGCTTTGCTTTCTTAATTTCTTTTTTAAGCTCACTATGACTGTTTCTCTCGGTATCACTCTCGTCTTCACTTCCCGTCCAAAGATGATCCTCTTCATCATCCATTTGTTTTGCCCACTCTCTTCTAAACTCCTTAGCTCCTGGAATTTTACCGCCAAATAGATCATAACTTGAACGCCTATCACGGGCATAAGAACGTGATGCTGAAATTAAACGTTTGCAAATCGTTAAACAAAAAATAAAAACATAAAGACAACAGCACATAACTGCACCAGAAATAAAATTGTAGCAGGCAAATGAAAAAAAAAAAACAATGACGAAAAGAGCCCAAATTCTTATTTCTTCCATTAATCAATGCAACCGAACTAAAAAGGAAATGGTTTGTCAATAAACTTCGACGTCTTCTTTGCGTACTTACAACGAACAGATATTCTGCAAGAAAGGGTAAAAATTGAAGACCAACCTTGTGATATGAGATAATAGCAGCCAATAAATAGGGAATCTTGCGACGTGATATCAGCAAGAGATAGCGATCTGAAAGGTAAGAATCCGTTTTGCTGTTGAGTTTTTGTGACGCTGAAAAGAGATGGAAATACGGAAAGGCGGGAAGACAGCCTCCGGGCCATGTCATTTGTTGCTGATTAGTGCGCAAGGTTGAAGCGGGAATACGCGCTGTTTTTATTTTTCTATGCTTCGCAAAATATAAATCAATTTTATGTCTAATTTCTTAAAACTTCAAAACTTCAAGCTGCAAATACCTTTTTTTTCTTCGACAAGTTGAAACGAAAAAGATTTTATTTATAGATTAACTTCAAATGTCGACCCAGTTGATTCCTACTATAGACCGATAAATTTTACACTACCGTTTGTTCTATGGAACGCTTAAATCAAGAACAAAAAGTGAGAAACGCACGAGTGCTTTCAAAAACACGTACACAACATGTTTATCTCATGTTTGGTGCGCAAGATTGGGTTGTATAAAAAAATTGATATTACAGATTAAGTTCCTGCTTGATTTAGTTAAAAAAAATTGAAAGAAATTTAAGTCAATAGTAATTTTAATCTCACATTTCATGGACTAACAATTTTTATCTCTTTCAAACATACGTTTCATCAATTTTTGTCAAGATCTACCAAAATTTTGGTTTTCAGCAAAACCAAACACGGGATAACCGGATAAGTCTAGAGATCCATGATCATACAAATATATTACAATGTCTAGTGCTAAAAAAACTCTAGCTAATAAAAGATCCTTATTTCACATATTACAGCAAAACCATATTTTCTTTAATACACAAGGGCAGCGCCACGCCAAGCGCAGGGCATTCCTTAGGAGGATTAGAATCAAGCAACTTTACGTCGTATTAATAAAACATTCTAGTTTTGCTAACTGCAGGCACCAACAAAGATATGATTTGGTTCAAGTTGTATTCATGCAGTCCCTGAATCGTCCAACATCTCAACCACCGGGGCGTACTGCAGAAGTTGATAGATTATATTAAGGAAAAGTGGAACAAGGCTAGAAGTAAAAGCCCGTTAAGAATGAACTGCTGCCCAGAATACAAACCTCGTCGTCATCTTCAAAGTTCATTCCATCTACTGCACTGTTTTCGTTGAATTGCCATCCTAAAGAATCTTCGAGCAGCTCTTTTAGTTTTCTTGTCTTCCAAAAGCAAAAAGGCAAAATTCAGTCTTCCACAGACAACTAAAATAAATTTTGGAATATTGAAGTTAAAACTAGTCCACTCTGGAATATTACCGTCTTTTGCAACTTACTACACTGCATTATGTTACAATAGGAAGATCAAGAAAAGCCTGAATAATGGAATTACTATTGATATCGATTAGCATTTCATTAACAACACAACTTCACATAATGTTAAGAAAAACTAAATGGGTACTAATTAGTGAGAAATAAAAGATTTTTTCACTTGGAAATTCTAAAATCAAATTCTGATTCTGTTCAAGGCGAATGTTAAACAAAGATCTAGAACACACCCAAATCAGGAGGTCTCCATCAACCACTGGAGCTTCCAGTACCAATGAAAAGAAATCCTGCAATCAAAAATCCAGACTTGTAAGCACAGTGATGAATTTGCTGAACTACTATTCACATTTCAGCTACTCTGTAGAAGAAACTTGAAACAATCTATATGGTTGAATAAACAAGTCTTCACTATTTCTTAAGATGAGGAAACAATTTTTTTGGACATAGCAATAAATGTCCACGAAAACCAGCTCAGGAGATCTACAAATTGACAGCCTTTCACAGGAAACAGTATTAGCCCAGAAGTTTTGGTTGTCGAATTTCCAAGTAGCTCAAAATTAATAACAGATAGACGAGCATGTGAATGTCAACTAGTCCATAGAATTACCTTACAAAGACGGTGTAGAAAGCTATCAGAAGATAACCAAGATTCATCAAACAATGCCGACGCTCCTTTGTCTGCAGCGCCAGTATCCTTCCGATCATTTTTTAATCCATATTTTAACTGATAATAAATGACTTGAATAAACTGTGCAAACGTGACAATTTGAAATTCAGTATATAAATAATAACAAAAAGGTTAAAGAGTACCTTAATGTTCATAATGCTATTAAAATAGATTTTGCAATAAAAAAAACAGCCAAGAAGTTTAAATAAATAGCACAAGACAAGAAAATTAAAATAGTTTCAGTCTTATGCTACCCAGGACATCCTTAGAAAGATAACAATAAACTAATGCTCTTAATAAAGTGCTAAAAAACCTAAATTGCTATCAATGCTGCAAGCAGTTATATATATGAAGAAATAATAAGGGAATCCTTGAAGGAGGGAAAGGGATAGAGAACAAAGGAAATAAAAAACAGTATAAGGGCATAGATGTAACTCGGGAACATTATAATCGAAGACGCAACAAAAAAGGTAGATTAGGTTATTGGTGGAAAAAGTGCACAAAAAATTATTCTTTTCCCCTATTTCCATATATTCACATGAGCAACCTCACCCACAGTGGGTCAGCTAACACAATAAAGCCAGTATATCAATTCAGTTAATTTTAATGGAAGCTGCAAGAATGTAGACAACATATCTGACTAACTGAGAAATGATTTATGGTTTTCAAAAACCACTGAAAGATCACTTTTCAGGACTTATAGATTGATAGATAAATAACACTCAATGAGAATTCGGTAAGGTGAGTACTTAATTGACCTTTGCTTTTATTAGCCAATGCATCTCAAGCCACCACGATTTGAGTCTAAATAATTCATACAGAATTCATATGAATATATGATGCTTACAAATTACCTTTGTGAATAGCCGACTCCTAGTATGAAGAGGCTGTAAAGAGAGGAACATTCACGTCAGAATCCATATAAAATCAAAGTTCTTAACCTGATTCAGCGACTGCTATGAAGATCTTCAAATGATTACCATGAGGGGCTCTAAATTAGCCAGCTGAAGCAACTTAAACGAGAAATTTCAAGTACCGACAAGTAGTAAGAAGAAATTTTTCATGCAAAAACAATGAAGTGTTATGTGATGAAACATCTTATAGATATTCATTTACAATCATAAATGCTTCACACTTTCAAATGGAAATGCTAGAAAGATGCAAGGATAGAGCTTTCTCATTTTTTTAAATATTAATTCCATCAATAATTTGGAGCATATTAGAAAGAATGGTAATGAAAGAGATACACTTTCTCAATCCATAATTTTTTCCAGAAAAGGTCCCTACCTCAATATATGATTGCATCATCACAAGTGAATGGAAAAACAAAAGGCTGACTGGCTGGTTCTCGGAAAAACCACATTAAAACCATTACCTCATCTAACTTTAGGAATTGTAAACCTAAGAGCAAATCTAATATGCTGCATTATTTGCATAAAATTGACACCCATGAGCTAAGATCCACATTAGCAATAGGACCGTGAACTACTGTGCACAAGCTTATGATTGTCTCAGGTTTATAAAAGGGAATCTAATCAATCAATATGATAACCATGTCTAAAATAACACACAATTATTCAACCTGTCGAAACTACCTTAAGGCCAATACCATAAGGATGGGGGTTTCATGAGTCAAAATCCCAAATTTTCATCTCAAGGACAATTATATTGATCTAGGCAGCATATTGAAAACAATAATAAAAGCCTCTATCGTTTCACCTTCACTTCAAAGATTTTCAGATGAAATTTATTCTAAAATCCAAGTATCAATTTTCACAACAATACTAGAATTGAAAGTTAACTTTAAGCAAATCCACTTTCTATGGACAAGATTCATCACGCATTTGAGCTGAGAATTTTCAGATGAAAAATAAAATAAAATAAAATAAAAAGTACTCCCAACACTGTCCAGATCTATTTGCATAAAATTAGCTAATAGAATCCCATTCTGACAGTGAGGACAGTATGGAATTTAGCCCCTTCTATTTCACAAATATTCTGAGGAAATTAATCCATATATATTTTTACTCACAGCCTCTGTACAGCCCAACAAGAGACCAATTAAAAGTTTCCACTGTAGAAATGCTTCAAGTGATTGTCCCATCTGCAAATTTGTGCATAAAATAATATATGAATTGGTGGACTCCATAATATCCATATGAATGTAGGTATGCATTAGCTGTGCATTTATATTCTAAACATCTGTGTCCTCATGGATGAAAAGTTGAAAAACAGAGAGCTTATTCCTACCAGAAATGCAATGAATGCAAATTGTAACTCTCCTAGAAGTGAATCTTCGTCACCTTCATATGCTTTTGTCAATATGCTTTCCAATAGCTGCGTCTGAAAAAATAAGCATATTTTCACTGCATCAACATGTCTGTCGAGCACTCCAAACTACAGGCAATTTTAACTTATAAACCTCGGAATCAAATACCTTATCAAGATTCATAATAGTAAGATCTTCGCTATTCATTCCCTTATGCTTGACAACACGGGGAATGGGAGTGTAGTAACAACCTTTTTTTTGGGATTTTTCTATTGGTTTTGAAAACTTGGTATTTTTCAGCTGTTCGATCAAAGCTTTCTCCATTTCTGTTTTAGGAATACCACCAACCATCTCAGATTCACAAGCAATTGTGATTTCGCCTCCAACAGGTTCTGTAAATCACCAAATCAAAATAAATTACACAGGACAAAATGAAGGGCAGTGCTCTTAGAAAGGGGCCAACTATCATATTAAGTGCACCCTTTAAGATATAACAGCATTCAGTGATTCATACAAAAATGATTTTATTTTGAATTACCATTGAAAGAAGATACCATTATAAGGTCTTCGTTGGGGGGGTGGGGGTTGAAAATCCAACTCCCCACCCTCCACGCAATGTGCTCACACGTCAAGAAGCATTTAGTTTCTCAACAGACTTACTTCCATGACGTGTCATTTGACAAATTCACAATCGAAATCAATCACTTTCCGCGGATGTATTATAGTTGTTTCTCCATGTAAGAGCATACATATCCAATATCCATGATAAAAATTGAAAATATAGAAGACTTAATTTCCTGCTCGTAATTGTTAATGGAGTTTGGCTAGTAAATCGAGCTTTCAGCATTTTACCAAATATCTCTGATGCCAGTATTATATCACCATGTTCCAAAATAGGATTATTCTTATCAATGAACCTCATTTGTTATTCCATTTTTTCGGGCAAGTTACAAAAATAATGGTGATATATATATATATATATATTTCAATATAAAGTGTTCAAAGGTCTCTTATGATGCCACCATGGAGATGAGTTCTAAACAACTTTATGCTCAATGACCGGTAACAGTAAGCACTAAGAACTCCTGAAATATAATGAGATGAATGGTACAGTTGATTGCCCAAAAATCAAAATCTAATGTTATGCTGAAATTATCTTATTTACTTGATTTCTAGCAGTTAATTTTTTTACCTGCTAACTCTTTCATTCCAGTTGATTAAGTTTACAATATCTGGCATTTCACCATCCCATCCACTAGAACAACTCTGATTAGGTAAGATGGGAAATTTGAGGTTAGAAAGGAAAGAAGAATCAACTAATGGAAAAATGGTTGACTCCCATCAACTAGAACAAACATAATTAATGCATAGTACACGTTTACAACAAAAACAAATATACCATTAAATAATAATAAATTGCTAACCAATGCGTTCAATTGTATTCTTGGTGATATAATTGGACAAGCATTTCCATTCCCCATAATGAGCCAGTGTATATGGTCCAAGATTTTTGTCAAATTCTAATCTTCTAACCGCATCTGAGTATCTTTCTTCCTGTATCAGGCAGTTAGAAAGCATTACAAACACAGATCAGATAAAGTATTTTGATGGTAGATATGATTGTCCAGAAGCGGGTGTTACATCCAAGAAAGATACTGAATTATATTTCAAGATGTCAACATGACACGTCGAACATGGGATAGTGAGTGTAGCATATTGACCTACAAATTAGAGACAACAATATTTGTGTCTACAGACCTAGTAAATTCATCAGCAAGATAGCTTATTGCAATCAAATAAAAAATGTACAGGGTCCTTTTTCTCTGAAGTCTGAGCATGCAGTTATTAAGCATTCGTGCAATTGCAATAAAATGTTTCTCAGCAAAAGGTGAGTTTGGTCCAAAAGGAGAAGAAACAGAGCTCCAGTATTAGCATAAGATAATTTCCGTGCTTAAAAACACTTGATATTCAAGTCTACAATCCCAGAGATATGTTGGCTCAACTTAGCCACTATATGAGTTCTCCGAGTATTTTTTGTCGCGAGATAAAAACCAGAAAACTAGCCTTGCAAATAAAATGGGAGGGAAAAACTCATGATTTCATTAGCACGAAGAGACGAATCTATTACTTTATAAATTTCTACTTAAATCAGGAGAATATGTTCTCACATAGGCATTATTAGTGCTTTGCATTAACAAGCATTGGTTCTATGAATAAGTAATAAACTTTTATAGCTTGAAGCATAAAATTTTAATCTATGGGACCCACATATCAGGAAGTGCTTCTAGTAATAGCAGATCAGCATTCATTTGCAGCATGTAGCAAAAACCAAACAAGGCTATCAAAATGCATACCTCTTCTTCACACAATTTGACAAAATGCTCTTCCTCTTGATCCCATTTCCGAACAATGACCTATCACAACATAGTAACATATACAGCAAGTTAATTTTATAACGATATTTTTCCATCACAGAAGAAAGTAATCAGTTGTAATTTCACATGTTGAACAAGTGAAGAAACAATGCTGTAAGAAAGTGACCGCTGATAGGTTTGGTGAACAAGTGGATTAAAAAGGTGTAACTGAGAATCTGAAATAATCAACAACTTCAAAACTGAGCTCCACAAAGCTTCATATGCAGAAATCCTCGATAGCAATAGAGTAAAAGGTAATTATCAAACTGCCTTCACCCAATTCATTCCTTGTATTATTTTTTCTCCTGAAGCAAAAACTTAAGTAAGAGTATTTCTTTGATGCCATACTAAGAGTATCCAACTTGAATAGTCATTACGAAAGGTTTCATCATCCCTGCAAATTGCTCATCGAATAGCAGAGAAAATGTTAACAGAACAGTCGACGTACTTTCATCCTGCGCACGCTTAAGGTTGTCTACTAATGGGTGTATAACATTGACACACGAAGTACAAGAACCTTCACAAGGAGATGAGAGTAAAATGCAGGAAATGGCGAAATATCGGACAGGAAACTAGAATACAGATTTCATGTGTAATACAAGTGAGCAATCATACTAGATTGAAAATAAACAAACATGTATGCATACAGCATAACAAGTATGTTTTATCTCAAGATTACAAGTGAAGAACAGCATTTGAAACATAAGAGGAAAATGAAGGAAGATGTGATAACGCCCACATACCTGTGAAGGGCTGGTATCAATAAAAAAACCAAAAATTGGAGAAAACTCACTGCCATCTCTGCAGGAGCAGGCACACAGTATCAAATAATGACTCCGCATTGATCAGAAACACCACTTAATTATAACATATAAAATGAATTCAGTGGGACTCTTTTCAATTACGGGTAAATTATCAAACAAATTGTAAAAATGTAATTCTCGCATCAAAATTATAGGCACATTCTTTTACACAAAAGAATATACCAAGTATTAGAGATTAAAAGCTAACCTGTTAGATGAACTGTAGTAAATGAAGTGAACTCCAGGAGGAATCATCTTGATGCCTTTAAAATGAGGTCCTGTAGAGAGCACCTGCATCGTCATTGTCCTCCCACATCAAATTGTTGTAAATATAAACATACTAACGAGAGTGAAAATCCAGAAACCGTTATAACTATATACATACCTGAGTGTCGATTCCAACGAGAGTGTACTGAGGAACATCGAGAAGAAGAAGAGTGGTGCCGTGCTTCACCAATTCTAAGGCGGTTTCTGGGTCCATCGATGATAGTTTGGGCCTTTGGGGTTACGCTTTCTTCTCTGAATTTTCCGAGTTATATAAAGGGAGGGTAATTTTGTCTTTTCACTCAACTTTAACGAAATTGGACGGATTCTATCATCAGGGACCTATTCTGCCCATTTTTTCAAATGTTGGAGATATCTGATGCTATCTTCAAAGGTTAGAGGTAATCCCTACGGTTTTTTAAAGGTTGGACCAAATATGCTATTATCTCAAAATTTATTTGGTAATTCGTACGAAGAAAGTGAACAGTGGACCCACATTTTATTGTCCGAATCCGCCACTCGGCACTCGCCTTTGCCTTTGGCCTTTCGCATCCCCAAAAAAAAAAAAAAAAAAA